CCAAACATCAGTATGGTATTTGAAATAAAATCTGTAAAATCTGGAAAGTTAATCTCAGTTAACAAAACAGCTATCGAAAGGCTCAGTCCTTTGATATTGACTCACGTGCAGATTAGAATAAGATTTACTTTACAGTAAGAATAGGCTCATTTATGTACCAAAGTACAGAGAGGTTTCATAGATAATTTATTACTCAAGACCACATTTATGCAGGTTGTATTGAACAATATCAATTTCCAGAACCCGGAAGTTTAAAAAAAAGGGGGAGCCTGGATGCAAAGCCAGAATAGAAGGTACAAAGTCCCTATAATAAAGCTCATATGCTTTACTCAAAAGAGAATCCCTCCAACTTTCCCTCAGAAACTTATTTTTAAGCTCAAAGAAGCTTATTTCTCTGGTTACACAAACCTCTTAACGTCAAGATCAGTAAAACAGAAGAGGGAAGCAACTGCACAATCGCTGCCAAAAAGGCACAATACACAGCAAGAAATAATAACCTGAACTCAAAGAAAACAAAGCAACTGTAAAGAAGAGTCACCAAGTTAATGAATGGCAGTGCATAGATGGGCAGCCCTATGGCCCTAAATATCCGAACAGCACTCCAGGGGGCTACAGACGCTCTGAGTGCCATCAAGTACCAAAGAAGAAAAAGAAAAACCTTACATTATGAGAAATTATAAAGCCTAAAAAAGATATTTAGGAATACTTCTATCAGAAGTAGGAAATATTTTTAGTCTAAATGTATCCAAAGAGTAATCTTCAGTTTTCTGGAAAATTCCTTGCCAGATGATACTAGACAAAACTTGACATACAAAATACTTCCATATTTTTTTCTCATAGATAACATTTCAAAAAACTGAACAGGAAATCTAAACAGATTCAACTTCTTATCACCAATCTTCCAAATTTATCTTCCTTTTTTTGGCTTCTTTTTAATTTCTCTTCCCTGGGTGTGTGCACCCACTCAGGATTGAACCCAGGCCCTTTGCACCTGCTAAGCACCCCCTCTATAGCTAAGCCACACTTTCAGCCCCTCAAATTTAAGACCATTTAGTGATCTAGCACAATGCTAACAAGCTACTAATTTTATCATTTTTTAAAGAAATAAAAACTTGCCACAACAATTGCAGAGAAAATATGTGAAATTTGGACAGAAAATTTCATGACACAGGGTTGACAATAACATCTATTTAGATGCCAAGTTTTCAGCCCGCCAAACAAAACTATTATATCTGTAGTTATATATCTGTATAGATATATAGATATATACTCTCCTTTTAGTGCCAATTTAGTCATCTCCAACAGTACTATTTTGTTAGTGGAGGCCAGAGACTGACCAGTATATCCTGATTTCTGGCCTTGATGAAGTTAATTTCTCTGGCACAAATGAAATGTTTCTAGACAAAGTCCAATTATAGCAGGAACCATACTCTCATAACCAGAAATTGTAACCACATCCTTGTCAACTTATAATCCATTTTACTTAATTAGCTATAAAGGGAGAGGATCTGAATTCAAAATATCTAGCAGTCCACTGCTGCCCAGTGTACTGGGGCACACCTGTAACCTCGAGCCCAGCCTGGGTAACTCAGTCCCTTAGTGAAACCCTGTCTCAAAATTAAAACATAAAACGCTGTCTGCCTCCCAAGTGCAAGGCCCCGAGTTCAATCTCTGTACCAAAAAAATTAAAACATAAAAAAAGGAGCTGGTCCCTGGTACCAAAAAAAAAGGAGCTGGGCCAGGATGTAGCTCAGTGGTGCCGCGCCAGCCTCGAAAGCACAAGGACCCGCGTTCGATCCCCAGTACCAAAAAAAAAAAAAAAATCCACCAAGTTGGCTGCGCATGGTAGAATACACCTATAATCCCAGCCCTTGAGAGTCTGAGGCAGGATCACTACCAGTTCAAGGCCAGCCTGGGCTACATGTGAGACCCTGTCTCAAAATCCCAAGAAAAAAAACTACCAAGCTTCTAATATTTAACCTGTACAAATATTCTAGTCTTATCATAAGATTTTGCAACTAAAGCAATCAAGCAACTTACATACTTTGTGTAATCTGATTCTGTTAGGAAACTGACCTAAAATCATTTATAAAGCTAGGAGCTTTCCAGAAATAGGAATTTTGCCAATATTTCAAAATTTCCACAATAAGATACCACTTACTGACACAATTTAAACTTACTGCTTCAACTCATTCATTGCAAAAACACTAATATATGCTTTTAGTTATTTCTTACTAAGGTTAACTCCTCTTTTACTCTTCCAAAAATGTCAATAGGTACAATTAAAAAGTCCAGGGCCGGGCCAGGGATTTAGCTCAGTGGTTCCTCCGCCTGCTTCGAAAGCACAAGGTCCTGAGTTCGATCCCCAGTACCAAAAAAGAAAAAAGAAAAAAAAAAAAAAAAGTCCAGGGCTGGGGATTTAGCTCAGTGGTTCCGCCGCCTGTCTCGCAAGCCCAAGGACCTGAGTTCAAGCCCCGGTACAAAAAAAAGTCCAAGTGCCCTTTATAAAAACCTGTTAGAATTCAATACCATATACCCAGCAGGCTGTGGTGGTACACACCTGTGATCCCAGCACTCAGGAGGCTGAGGCAGGAGGATTACCTTTGAGTTTGAGACCAGCCTGAGCTACATAGTAAGACCCTGTCTAAAAAAACAAAAAAAGGGGGGCGGGGGAGAATTCACTATCATGTCACCTAGTCTGAAAAAAAAATTCTGCAAATTTTTCTTTGCCAATTCATGTTCCTAAAATAATCCATTTATTTCCTTTTATCAAATTTAAAAATCAGCCAGGCATGTTGGTGGACACCTATAATCTCAGCTACCTGCTGAAGCAGGATTGCTAATCTGAGGCACCCTGGGCAACACAGTGAGACCCCAGTTCAAAAAACCAAACAAACAGCAGGGCATGGTGGTGCATGCCTGTAATCTCAGTGCTTGGCCAGCTGAGGCAGGAGAATCACTAGGAAGGAGTTCAAGGCCAGTGTGGGCTTCATAGTGAGCTCAAGACCAGCCTGAACTATACAGTGAGACCCTGTTTAAAATAAAACAAAAGAAAGAGAAAAAACAAACAAACTACCAAGTCCCTGCTGCCAGCTGTGGTGTCCAACACAAGGAATCTCAGCACTGTGCCAGGTGAGGCAGAAAGATGGCCAGTTCAACGGACACTATAGCAACTTAGCAAGACCCGCCTCAGAATGAACAAATAAACTTAAAAAGGCCTGGGGATGTAGCTCAGCATGAAAGCCCTGGGTTCAATCTCAAGCACCATAATAAATAAGGAAGTCCCTGCTAGTATCTATCAAAATATTATCATGTGTTTCCTCAATGGTATAAATCAAGACTTTCACGTAGTTCTAATGTTTTTGGAAAAGTAGAAAGGGGTAAGAAGCAGGTCACTGCTTGTTCTATCCAACAGTCAAAAAAAACCTTCACTTCTTCAAATATAATTATTACAAAATTTTGTACTATTAATTTGTCCCTAAAATTTACTTTCTAAATATATACACTTCCTGAAACTATGAACCCATCATGCCAACAAATGGGCTAAGGAACAATTAACTTTTTAATGGTAGTCTTTTCTCATAACGCTAACTCATCAGCGGCCAGGTCCTTCTTCGGAAGGTTTGCCAAGTCACAAGACACTACTGTTTACAGTCCTTCCCATCTGCCCCTGCCAACCTATATCAAACACTCCAGTCACTTGGCTTAAGCCACAGTCGCCCAAATAACTCTGTCAAATCCTAATTTAGAGCCAAGATGCACTCATTCTGATTCATATTCTTAATGGAAAAATTTTAAATCACCCGATTTTCACAGGGATAAATTCTGCCTTTCGATGCAACGGATCCTAGAGCCCTCACACTTTCAACCCAGTGCCCCAAACCTAACTTAACAAATTCTGCACTTTTAGACACCTTTTGCATCTGAGTCTCATACCCTCTTGGCTTTCAAAGACAACTGCCAGCTCTGAATTCACTGGAGTACTAGTCTACATTTCTTTCATTTCCTTGCTACACACCCTGTTCTTTCAGGTTGAGGCCTACTGATTTTCCCCTCTGGCTGCAGTAGGAAAAAGAAATGAAACAAAATGTATCTGCCACCATTCTTTTTACAGATAGCTATCACACAGTTCCATTTTTCATCACAGACTTCATAGCACACATCATGTAACGTGGTATGTATCATAAATGTCTATTGTTCAGAACTTCTCTAGGCACCTATACTAATACTAGTCTCCAAAATCAAACAATACTCCGGATAATGGGGGGTGGGGGGGTGGCGAGTATGATTCACCAAAAACTGCAAGAAGAGTAATGGAATATTTTCACCAGTGGCATGCTAAAACTAAGAGCTGCTTTCAGAAGGGCTACTGCTAAGCAACCATCCCTGTAGCAATAAATCCTCCAGCCTCAAAGGGTGCAAAGAGAGGAAGATAGGAAAGGCGAAGCGGGGTCCCCCCCCCAGCTCCTCGGGAGGTTCCGAGAACAAAGTCACTGCTGCACTGTCACCCGAGGAAGGCGAAGGGGGAGGGGGCGGATCAGCGTGAAAACCCAGCCCCTGGGCTGGAGCAGGCGAGGAGAACTCGCCGAGGCTGACGACTGCCGTTCTAGTTCCACTCTACCCTCCTAGAAGCGCCCCTGCTCACTCCAGCTCGGGTCCCCATGGCTGCTCCTCCCCATCTGTCCCCGAGGGGCGCGGGGACACCCCCGGACCGCCAAAGAACTGAGTTAGGGCCTGGGACGGAGCGGGGACTCCGGGGACCCCCTCGGGCCGCCCCCGAGGCCGATCGAGCCGGGGTGGGGTGCGGGGGACTGCGCACAGGTGCGCTCCGGGCCGATCGCGGCCCGCGGCCCGGCCCGGCCCCGGCCCGGCCCCGGCCCCC